GAAGTGAGGTTTTTACTCACGAAAGCTTATGCCCAATAAATCTGTTAGTCTTTAAGGTGCCACCAGACTCCTTGTTGTTTTTGTAGATACAGACTAACACGGCTACCCCCTGATACTAGACTATAACAAGCTCCCGTTCCACCCGTCATTACATTAACTTTGTAATGTTACCTGGCACAGTGTATTCCTCTCTGGCTGGTGGAGGCTGCTGGGAAGATCCCGAGTAAGGATGGTCCTTTTCTAAGCCCTCCATTTTTCTTTGCAGTTTGTTGCTGGGGTTCTGGGTTTTAACTAAAAAGCAGCGTAGCTGCGCAGTAAGGGCCTCAGGAGTTAGTTGGGCTACATACTACAAAAGGAGTAGTTTGAGAAAAACAGCCCGCCCACTCCACATGGCTTATCTGGCCTGGCCACGGTCTGGTACTGCTGTTCTCCTTATCATGTCACCAAGCTGGAGGAGCCTGGGCTCACGTCCTGCCGTCTTGCTGCAAAGGAATATTAGTGTGCTTCTTCACGACTGCTGCTCCTCAAATAGGCAGTTAAGAGCGGCTGATGCTGTCGAGAGTAGAGACCCTGGTGTTTAATAAGGGGTGGGGGAGGGAGCTAAGCAGCCCCTTCTACTTGCCCTCCTGCCTCTCGCATCAAAGGGCAGCAAGCCCAACACAAAGGAGGCAGTGCCCCAGGCAGTGGGCTCTCATTTGAGGTCTTATGTGGGACATAAGTAGCCAAAGGCCTTCAGCACAGAGGTGAATTTCACTTTTCAAGGACACTTGTGCATCTCAAATCCCTGGGGTAGAGCGCTTAAAGACAACCAGCTTGGCCCAAAGGGAAAGACTTTTGTGTCTGGGCACGGCCTCCCATGCAGCTCCTGCTTTCTGAGCTGTCAGTTCTCCACAAGCCTGTGCATGGCGTCTCTCCCAGTCCGCGGCCCATTTTGTGAGAATGTTGGTGACACCCGCTCAGCACCATTTTGTGCCCTCGGTGCTGCATTTTAAGCAGTCCTTCCCAGTCTCGCCCTTAATCAGACAGTGTCAGTCCTCGTACTCGCAATATCAAGGCCCCAACCCAGCAAAACACTTAGGTATGTGCAGAGGACGGGAGGAAGGGAATCCCAGTGCAGACCTGACCTGGGGCCATCTGCCATTGGCGGGAGGAGAGAACTTTCAGGGGGAACTGTCAGTAGGAAGTCCATGGTATGGTGCATGGGAGAATAGGCCCTCTGGAGCCACAGTTGCAGGCAGTGAAAGTGAAGATGAACGAAGGCGGTAACATGCGGGCAGGCCACCATGTGGCCAAGAAGGGAAAGGTAAGCCCTGGCTGAAACAGAAGAACTGGCGGTGGAGACCATCCGTTCTTGTGGGGTCTCTGGAACCTGATCTCCGGTAGACAGGCGCGTGTGAAGACCGCATTGATGTGGGCCCCAATGAATTCTAGGGATTGTTTGGGATCCAAAGTCGATTTTCTGATGTTTATGCTCATCCCCAAGGAGGAGAGGAGTGTGAGTAGCATGGAGATTGAGGCTTGAGCCTTCTTTTTGGATCACGCTGCTATCAGCCAGTTGTTGAGATAAGGGAATATAAGGACCTTTTGATGCTGAAGATGGGCCACCACTACCGAGGGAACTTTGGTGAAGACCCGTGGAGCAGTGGTGAATCCGCAAGGTAGAACCATGTATTGGACATGTTGAGTTTCTGCCATGAAGCTCAAATGCCTGTGGATAGTATGGATATCCATGTGAAAGTAAGCGTCCTGTATATCGAGAGCTGTAAACCACATGCCTTTTTCTAGCAAACTTATGACGGTTGCTAAGGTGACCATACTAAACTTTGGCCTGCATATGAAGTGGTTGAGACGACTGAGGTCTAAGATCAGTCTCCACCTATCCATCTTCTTGGGAACTAGATGGAGTAGAACCCTGGACCCTGATAGGTTGTAGGAACAGGTTCTATCACTCAGCTTTGCAGCAGGGAGTCCACTTCTAAGGTGAAAACTGTGACAGGTTGGGTCACAGAAACCCCCTTGGGACTGTCACCTGATGTGCTGAGACTACCTCTGAGCCCGTTTTCCCTGGCAGCTTGGGACTTCAGTGCCCTGCCTGGTTGTGCCAGACATGCTAGCCTGCTGCAAACACAGACTCAGGGTCTGAACCATGTCCTCCAAAGCTGAAGACTTAACTGGAAACAGCTTAAGAAGTACTCCTATATCTAGCACCCAGCTCCCCAGCTCCCAGTGGGATCCAAACCCCAAATAAATCCATTTTACTCTGTATAAAAAAGCTTATACAGGGTAAACTCATAAATTGTCTGCCCTCTATAACACTGATAGAGAGATATGCACAGTTGTTTTCTCCCCCAGGTATTAATTATTTACTCTGGGTTAATTAATAAGTAAAAAGTGATTTTATTAAATATAAAAGATAGGATTTAAGTGGTTCCAAGTAATAACAGACAGAACAAAGTAAGTTACCAAGCAAAATAAAACCAAAACACACAAGTCTAAGCCTAATACAGTAGAAAACTGAATCCAGATAAACTCTTACCCTCAGAGATGTTTCAATAATATGTTTCAACGGGGAGGGAGGGATAGCTCAGTGGTTTGAGCATTGGCCTGCTAAACCCAGTTGTGAGTTCAATCCTTGAGAGGGCCACTGAGGGATCTGGGGCAAAATTAATACTTGGTCCTGCTAGTGAAGGCAGGGGGCTGGACTTTCAAGGTCCCTTTCAATTCTAGGAAATAAGATATCTCCATTAATTTTTTTCACAGACTAGACTCCTTCCTAGTCTGGGCCCAATCCTTTCCCCTGGTACAGTTCTTGTTAGCTTAGGGGGTTTCTCATGACTGCAGCCCCCTTTGTTCTGTTCCACCCACTTTTATAGCTTTGGCACAAGGCAGGAATCTTTTTTCTCTCTAGATCCCCACTCCTCCTTCTAAATGGAAAAACACCAGGTTTCAGATGGGTTCCAGACAGTACCAGGTGACATGGTCACATGTCCTGTGAGACCCCAAGCTTTCATTCTTCCTGGCCTGACTCACAGGAAGGCTTGCAAGTAAACAGAGCCATCTACAGTCAATTGTCCTGGTTAATGGGAGCCATCAAGATTCCAAAACCACCATTAATGGCCCACACTTTGCATAGTTACAATAGGACCTCAGAGTTATATTTCATATTTCTAGTTTCAGATACAAGAATGTTACATTCGTACAAATAGGATGGCCACACTCAGTAGATTATAAGCTTTGTAATGATACTTTACAATAGACCTTTTGCATGAAGCATATTCCAGTTACATTATATTCACACGCATTAGCATATTTTCATAAAATCATATGGAGTGCAACATCACAAGGACACTGCCCTGAGAGTGGTCCCTGAGGTGTGGCCGGGGGACGTGAGGGAGGTAGCACTGTGAACTCGATCGTATGCCATGTTGAATGACATCCAGGACCCACTTGCCTGTTACTGCACTCCAAGCTGGTAAGAAGAGTGCTAGATGCCCCCTGAAGGGGATGGGGTGGGTGTGTGGCATGAGGCAAGGTGGTTGCCGGCTCTCTAGATGCATTCAGAAATATCACTTCTGCGAAGACTGCATATGAGATGCCAAAGGCTGTGGAGATGAACCTGGAACGGGGCCGTTGGGTCTTCTGTCATTTGTGAGGCGGCTCAGAGGGCCGCTGATGGAAGAATTGAGGAGTGCTGAATCATTGCATTAGTGGTGGGCGAGAAAACTCCAGTTGTTTGACTTCTTTTTCCACCGACGTGGAGCGTGCATGGTCTTGTCAGGCTCACTCCCTGGCCACCTGTAGGATGAGGAAATTGAGTGGGGGGTGCGAGAGAACAGAAACTCAGACCCCCTTGCAGGTACAGCGTACCTCTTCTCCCCCCCCTTGAGGGTGGGGGCGCAAGTGCAGTGGCACTGGAACATTTTTAGTAGTGGGTGTGCTGAAAGCTAGCCCCCTTACCCCTGTCCGCGCCCCCTGCCCCCGAGCTGAGGCTGGGAGTAGGGATGTGTTTCCGGGATGAGGGGACCCAGACAGGGGTCAAGGGGCTCAGGCTGTGGCCACTGCTGGGGGTGGGGCCAGGAGCGGAGCCCTGGGCAGGGGCTGGCAGCCGGGACCCCACGTGCAGGTCCAGGAGCAGAGCCCCAGCTGTGGGGCTGGGAGCAGGGCCCCGGGAGCGGAGCCCTGGGAGCGGGGGGGCTGGGCGTGGGGCCCCGGGAGCAGAGGCCTGGGAGCAGTGGGTGGCCCCAGGCACGGGGCCAGCGGCCGGGACCCAAGCCCCAGGTGTGGGGTTGGGGAGCGGAGGGCTGGGAGCAGGGCCCCAGGTGGAGTGGGGCATGGGGCCAGCCTCTGGCACCTGAGCCGGGGAGTGGAGCCCCAGGTGCGGGGCCAGCGGCTCTGCATAAAAGCTGGGGCTCCTGCAGCACCCCTAATTCCCGTGCCTATGCGCAAGTGGCTGAAGTGTGCCAGACAGTCCGAGCTGGTTGAAGAATGGTGGTGTTAATCGGTAGAGCCACTCTGGACGGTATTGAGGCTTGCAAGACATCAAGCAGCTGGTGCTGTTTGTCCTGTACCTCCTCCAGTGGGAGGTGGAGGTGCTCATCACCCTGTATAGTAGGTCCTGGAACTGATGGCAGTCATCCAGGGGCAAGGAGGGAGCCAAAGACACTGAGATGTCTGGTGACAAGGAAGGGAACTGCTCTGGTACCGGCAGTGTTGTTGGAGTCGGGCTTATGTGGTTCTTCCTCCAATACCGGTTTTGAATGCCTATTCTATGACAGTTGAAGAGGCAGGTTGGGGGACTCCTCCTAAGCTGAGCAGGAAGGTTCTGATGGTGGATACTGGGGCCAGGTCTCCCGTACAGCAAACAAGGTGGATCCAACGTTTGCTGCGAAGGGCCCCAGGGAGTGGGGTACCAACAACTCCTTTGCTAGGGAAAAGGAGGGCACTGCCACTGAGTCGGCAGAACCTTTGGAGAGTCATATCGATGGTATGGGAGGGACAGACCCTGTGCCCCTTCCAGTCCTCCGATGCTGAGAAGTCAGAGCCTGGTTCAAACAGTGGTGCCGCTGGAACGTGGGAGGTGAGTCCAAACTAGGAGCGCATACCCCTTAGGTAGTGACTGCCCCTGAAGCCATGGAGACCTCACACCTCCATGGCAGAGTTCATGAGGCTCAGGGGCCGACCCCAGCCTCCCCACACTCAATGGTACGTGCTCTACAGTCTGAACTGGAGCTGGAACAGAGGACTCCCTTAGAACTGAGAGTGCCCTTGATGTTGGTGATGCCGCTCTGGAAGGGGTACGGTATCGGCAAGTCCAGCCTTCTGTGCAATTTCTTGTCATGCTTGTGAGCCTTGGATCTGGGCCCAGCAGCCTTCCAGGCAACCCATAGGTGCTGGAACTAGGGGAGTGGGGGATGCTGCTGCACCCCCTGGCTTGAAGTGGTTTCCATCATATGCAGGGTTTACAGTTTGGTTCAATGGCTCTCAGCACCCCCACTATACAAGTTGTTCCAGTGCCCCTGAGGC